TGGGCTAGGGTGGAGGACTCTTGATTCTGTTAGGTCTTAATCTTTTTAGGTGAGCCCATTCTTACTATAATTTAGCCATATGCTTTGATTGCTGTTTAAGAAATACAGTGGTAGGGTGAGACAAATGGGAAGCTTTGACTTCCTGCTGACATGGGGGTGGGGGGTGGGAATTTGATTTCCTTCTCACAATGAAAGCTTTTTTTTTTTTTGGTGCCTTCCAGTTAGTGTTGACTCCTGGAGACTGCCTGGACAAGTCCCTGCAGTTTTCTTGGCAAGATTTCAGAAGTGATTTGTCACTGCCTGCTTCCCAAGGCTGAGAGAGAAGGATTGGCTGAAAGTCACCCAGCTGGCTTTGTGCCTAAGGCAGGACTAGAACTCACTGTCTCCTTGTTTCTAGTCTGGTGCCTTAAACACTACACCAAACTGGCTCTCTCAGCACCTTATTACTATTAATATGCACCCTCTTCTTGTTCAATGACCACAATCCGTTCCTTAAATTAGAAGCAAAATGGTCACTAAGTGAACATGTGGCACAGAGGGAGGGGGGAGAGAGACTGCAAAGATCATTGGTTGCTGCTGTCTCAATTAGATAAAGTTCTCTTGTACATTTACACCAGTGTTACTCTCATTCTGGCATGCATTGTTGAAAGGCCCACAACGTTTTGTCATAAGTGTATGTATTGATCAGAAAATGATTTTTTTAATTACCACTGTATTTGCAAACAATCACTAAATGAAATAGCCGCTAAATGAAGAATGGCTGTATTTTGCAAAATAATTCTCGTAGAAACCAACTTAGTTTCAAATGAGTCAGGTGATCCTTCATTTATATATTTACGGGCTCTTCCTCACAGCTGTGTTAAAGCATCTTCCTCCAGTCCTTGAAATGGCAAAAAAGTATGCTGGCAAATTTTGCATGGCTCCTATTGCTGAACCCTCTTCTGCCTCAGTACTGTAGTGAAGCCAGGAAGTGGTGCTGTTCTTATAATTTTTATGAAGAACCAGTTAAGGAAAATGAATGGTGAATTCCCTCACTTTGTTCACCCTTCCAGCAAAGGACACCACTGGCAAGAAAAACATCCACCAATTTTGTTCCTTAACATGAGGTGGGGCTAGGAGGAGGATGAATTTTAACAGATGGATAGAATAGCGGCTTACGCCATGTATCAGAACTCGCTTTGGTTTTGTACATATGTTTTCTGCAGCTACATCTGAAGGAGGCCTGGCAGGTGATTGCTGGGTTCCTTTTGGATGTGGGGTTAGTTCTATTCCTCCCATAAAAAGGGACTGTCTTCCAATCTATCATGAAGATAATAGTGGGGAGGGGTAAACACCCTCTTTAAGCTCTGCTTAAAAGATTAGAAGTAGGCATCCTTTGCTCTGTGCAGGAGACTCGGTTTCTAAAGTGGTGGTGAGAAGAGAATCAAAGCTGCTCTCCAGGTCCTTGGAATATTAGTTTGAATTGTCTGAATTATTTTAATCATCCAGAATCTTTGCCAAGGAGAGAGAGGAGTTGGAAGCAGGCACTCTTCTTTTGAAAACTGTCTTGCTCCTAAAATAGACAAATCACTCAATCAAAATGACCATAACAGGAACCACTAGTAAAAAATAAATACAACAACAACAGAAACAATAAGATCTATTTAAATGGAGCATTTGGTTCCATCTGTGCCAGTGGATGCTTTTAATGCTGCCATTTAAATAAACTCTTACTTGAGAGTAAGCCCCCTTGAATGCCATGAAGGATGAGCTTCAGCAGTAGAAACATGCCCTAGCTCGTAACAGGGGAGGCAAAGTTTCCTTTCTAGAACAATCTATGTAATCCTTTGCATGTCTACATAGAAGTTAATTGAACTTAACAAAGTTTCCTTGTTGATGCTTTTTAAAATCTTAAATTAAAAAGAAATAGCGGAAAGAGATTAGATGATATTCAAAAGCTAGTGGTAGAAATACAGCAGAAGAGGGAAACCTGCCAGCCAGTGGCAGAGAAAACAAAGATATCACCACAGAAGGAAGGGGAAGATCCTGGTCTGGCAAGACAGTGGTACAGCTGGGATTTAGATTCAAGAGATCAGGCTGAGCTGCCACGAGAAGAGGGGAGACATCCAGGCATCTGCAAGAGGAACTGTGGTTTCTAAAAGGAGTCCAAGCTGCTCCCCCTTCCTTCCAGCTGTCTGTGTGGAAGCCAGATGCCCCAAATGACCACTGGGGGGGCGAGAGGTTGTTCCTGCAGCAGTCCACAGAGACCAATGGCACCTAGGGAGATCCCAGCCTTGACCATGTCATCAAGTACACTGCCAAGCCCCTTAGATCATTCATATGGCAATACTTGTGTCTGGAGAAGAGGAAAAATGCCATTTTAATATGAACTGCTACAGACAAATGTAAACTGTGTCTCCAATGGCTGAACAGAAGTGACTTGATGAGGACATGCCCTCTAAAAATGGTTGGCAAGGCATCTTTATGCCATGGTTAGTGTTCCACTCAAGGTCTCATTAATTAGGACTACTAAAAAAAACTGACATGCATTTATTTCAGTTATGCAGATAATTTGAATACAGATTTCCACAGCTCTATTTTTTTTTCAGTTAGAAAAAAGGGTAATTTAGTATGGTCACAGACCAGACAGGGATGATTTAGGATTCAAATATGATGAATCTCACTGGAATTCTTTGTGGCACAGAATTCCTTTAAAATCTATTTCAGCAAGTCATAAGCAATTAACCCTGAAGGCAATTCAGAGTTGGGTCTACACCATCGGTTTCAAACTCATAGTCTATGGACCGCAAACAGCCTGAAGACACTGCTCAACAAGGCCAGGTGCTGAAGGAAAGGATGCCATGGTGCATCTCCCAGGAACTTTAGGACTTGGTTGGTCAGATTGGACAGTCAGCTCTCTATGGCCTCTCATGACCATCAGTCTGGGGACCGCTACCCATTCTTACACTCAGTGGAGGACACTGCTTCGGAGATGGGACTTGGTTATCCAAGCAAGGGCAGGAGGGGAGGTGGGGCTTGGCTAGGAAAGGTAAGATGGCAGACTGGGGCTACCCAAAGAAAGGAAGGAAGAGGCAGCCAAGGAGGAGAGCTAGGTTTGGCCTCCTGCCCAAAGGTCTCTCTGCCATGTAAGGAGGGGGAAGAAAAAGAACAGCAGGAACTGAGCAGCTCTGGGAAGAATTTCCCAGATTATTGTATCTTAGATCAACCCTGTAATAAACAAAATATGGATGTTCTGGTTAATGAAAAATGCTGCCACCTAGGTTGCAAAGTGAAATAGCTCTTTCTCAGCTGTTTCACAGTAGTTTTTTTTTTAATTTAATAAATTTACATGTATGATTCATAGTATATTGCAATATTATTTTCTTCATGTTTGACTAGAGACTTTTGCATCAACGTTTTATAGGTTTTATGTTTCACCAATTAATTGTACCATATTTTAAAATTTCAATAACATTTATAAAACAAGAAAAAGAAAAACTTTCTTGTATTAAGGCCCTTGGGCTAAGGAACTATGCTGTGCTAAAATACGCACCATATAAATTGTAATATTTCAAGACTGAGTTGGTAAGATTGTAAGGTAATTGATATGTATTGCTGTCTTTGGTAGAAATATCCAAATAGCCTATTCTTTTGAAGGTGTTTGAAAAAATGGGAGGAAATCACTGAGAAATCTTTTGTAATGAATCCTGCTGTTTGTTTATTGTTCAACTTTCCTAAGTTATATAAATCAATGGAAGATAGAAAAGAGATTCAATTTTTGGATTTTTATCTGACAGATCTCTCACTGTAAAACACTGGAAAATTAAAGCACATTGTTCATTGGCCTAGTGATATTAAAAGGGTGGGAAATTGCTGCAACTGAAAATTCAAGCAAGCTTTGGAAAAACCCTACAATGAATGTAAATTTACTGAAATCTGTTCACCACTTCCTTTCTTTTCCTTTCCACCATATTAACACTTTTCCTAATAAATTGTGGACAGAAATGCTGCATATATGTGCTTAAAAAATATTTGCTTTTCTTCCTAAGATCCCAAATGCATTCAATTTTTCTTTTCCTTTTCTTCAGTTTTTCTTTGATGTCTCCAAAGAATTGTGGGGGGGGGGGGGGAACCTACCTGAAATCTTGACAGAAAAGCAGATCGGGGTAAATATATAATACCGAGCTGGCTAAAATCTGTCTAATACACCTGCTTTTGTTCCAGTTAATTTTTGCTTAAATCCTTTTTTTAATGTAATTCTAAGCATGCTTACTGAAAGTAAATCGGATTGCGCGCACCATTACCAAAAAGAAAGGAAATATTTAACATCGACTCGCTAACATTGCCTTGCTGAGCTTCCAGACCCCTCTTCCTCCTCCACCTCCTCCTTTTTGTAAAGGTCTCAGGCTGTCCGTACACTAGTACGACGCGGCGGCGACGTGCGCCGGCTTATTCTTTGTTTACATCCCCCCTCCTTCCGACCCCTCGGAAGCCCTGTCTGCGAGGAGATTGGCTGAACGGGACGGCAGAGGTATCGCGATCTGCCTCCTGATTGGCCAGGGCGTCGGTACTGGCGGTGGAAGAGCGGCCGGGGGCGCGGCCTGGGTGGCTGCGCTGCCCGCCGAGTCTCTGTGCGGGGGTTGCTCCGCTCGGTCGCCTCCTAGGGTGAGGAAGCGATCATTGCTTAGCGCCGGTTCCTGCCTTAGCGTTGGTTGGGAAGTTCCCGTTTCCTTGACGGCGAGAAGAGGAGGCAGAAGGGGAAGGAGGAGAGGGAGCGGAGCATGGCGGCCTCGGTGTCAGAAAAAAGCAATAAGAAGAAAACAGAGAAGAAACTCGCTGCTCGAGAAGAAGCCAAATTGTTGGCCAGCTTCATGGGAGTCATGAATAGCATGAGGAAGCAAGTAAGGCGGAGGAAGGGAGGGAGGCCGGAGGCGGGGGTGGGTGAACTCTGGGCCTCCCGTAAAGAAACCTTGGCGGAGCCTGTCGCCCTGCGGTGTCCAGCAAAAACACGGGGG